TAAGATTTGATTGTTTTAAGCTATTGTGGTTTGGGGGGATGAAGTTGGTCACCACCCTGTAACCAAAGTTTTCCTAACTGAATTCTTTCCTGAGCAAATGTTTATTTTTCCTGGAAATAGCAGTGTTAAAGAAGGTTGGCTTAATTTTCTCTGTTAATCAGAAATTCAACTCCAAAGTTTACACTAAGGGTCTGAATCTCTTCTTAGTATTCTTTATCAGAGACTCTACTAATATTATCCTTTCTCTCTTCACAGGTTGCCTTCTAGCCTCCTGCTCAACTGTCTTCCTGGAGAGCCTCTTCACCTCTCTGCTGCAGAGCATGAATCCCCTGGGAACTTACTTTTGGCCAATGAGATGTAAGCAGCAAAGTTGTGTGTGACCTTTGGAGGAGTCTCATCTTTCTCTCTTTTTCTTCAAACTGGATGGAATAGAATGTGATGGCTGGAGCTCTGGCTTCCATTTTGGACCATAATGATAGGATATCCTGAAAGAGTTCAGGTCCCTGATAACTGTGGAACCTCCAAACAAGCACTGGACTGCCTATCATCACACTTTTTTTTTAATGTGAAAAATAAATTTATATATCATTTATTCTGGTTTCAAATTTCTGGTCACATGAAGTTGAAGCTGCTTCAAACTGAACCTTCCTTATGCTTAGCTAATTCCTTTGTTTTGGTGAAACACATCCTCTTATCTCTTGTGGTTTGGTTAAGAAATAGATGTGACTATATATCCTAGGTATAAGGGGTCCTATACAAAAAAAGAAACTATTAAATCCTTACTTCACAGCTTTCATCAAAATTCATTCCAAATGGATTAAATCATTGAAATGTAAAGCAGGAAATTATAAATATAGGTAAGCAATTACGACTTTAACCTGAAGGCTTTCTAAAGATGATACTAGTAGAAATCAAAACCAAGTTGAATAGGGTTTAAAAGAAAAAAATAAAAAAAAAGAAAAAATCTTTTATAGGTCATATCTACTGAAAACCAAAATAAATGAAAATTTTAGGGAGCCATAATTAAACTCAGGGCTGCTAATCAAGGTTCTCTCCTTTGACCAGAGTTTCTCAATGCTGGCTTTATTGACATTTTGGACTGGATAATTCTTTGTTGTAAGGATCTGTCCTGCACATCATAGGATGTTGGCCTGGGACCACACTTTGAGAACTTCTGATCTGTAATCTTATGCCTGCGAATAAACATGTCATCTCCTAAAATATGAAAGTAAAAATAATATTGACATTTCCAGAACATGGAAAAGTTGTGATCATAGGTAATCAAGGTGCATCTTTTTTTTAAGATTTTATTTATTTATTCATGAGAAACACACAGAGAGAGAGAGGCAGAGACACAGACAGAGGGAGAAGCAGGCTCCATGCAGGGAGCCTGACGTGGGACTCGATCCCTGATCTCCAGGATCACGCCCTGGACTGAAGGTGGCGCTAAATCACTGAGCCACCCGGGCTGCCCTCAAGGTACATCTTGATGGTGGAGTTCAGGAGTTGAGAAACCATGTTCTTATAAGAGATTGCAAGACAGAGGACAAAATTTGTGATTTATGGATCAAGATGAGGATTTGATTTACAGTTGCTCTAAACTTAGTGATCTTTTTCTTAAGTAATATTACTATAGACATGACCAAAATGAAAGAACCAATCTCAAGAGAAATAACAAAGATGATAACAATGACTCTTATCAGTCTGTGATATGGATGTCCGTCTATCTTTACTCAAACTTCTTCCAATTTCTTGTTAAACTTCCTATGATAAATTCTATGTAAATGTCCAGGGACTATGTAAAAAAAGCTATGCAACCTTCTCCACTTACTGCCACATAACTTTTAATACTTTACCTAAATAATTTTTGTAGGAATAGCAAAAAACTGCTGGAATTAATGCTGTATACTTTTCTGCAGATAGGCCAAAAAAAAAAAAAAAAGAAAAGAAAAAAGAAATAAATCATTATGTAGTGAATTTCAACAGATGGCTTATATATAATCTTCTAGGTTTACCAGACATGATGCATTTTTAGATCATCACTTTTGAGCACCAACCAGCACCTTCTCTGCATGCCCTGTGCCATTGTTTATTACAGCCAAGTGAATCCAGCACTGAAATGATCTGTCTTGCGCCAGCAAGCTACAAACAAAACCAATAGCCCTGTGCTGGCAACATTATTTTACTGTTGTCTCCTTAATCTCCTCTGTTCTTTTGCAATTACTTTTATTAGTATTGCTCATTTAATGAGACCTTGGAGTTCGGAGCCAGATGGTGTTGTTAGTTAAATCTGGAAGACTAATGGAATTGAGTTCAAACCAGGTTAAGGGTAAAAGAATCACAAATCTCCTAGCCTATTGTTCTGTATACCTTTGGCATCCCCGAAAATTAGTGTAGGCTCCCGACGGGAAGACTTGGATTAAGGTTCAGAGAGACTACATGTGCTCCTATTTGGGTGCTGCTATAGCAGAAATAAGACAGGCATGTTCCCTGCCTCATGGAGCCTGTAGTCTCCTAGAGGTGAAGGACAATAAGAAGCGAGCAAGGAAGACCACCAGGCATTGGGATAAGTGATGAGAAGGGCAGGAGGTGGAGATGACGTGGAGGGGTGCTCAGGAAAGCTGTCTGAGGAGGTGCTAGTGAAGTTGACACCAGAATGATGGGAAGGGGCTGACTTGGAGAAGCAAGAGGCATGTCATCACTGTTTGTTAGAAGGAGTCATGGAACGGCTGTGGAATGGAAGTTGTTTGTGTTCCCAGGGGGCTGCAAGGACACCACCATGACTGGAACCTGCAGAGGGAAGGCGGGTGGCCTCAGATGAGGCCAGAAGCCACTGGACCCAGAGATGTTACATGAGGCAAATGGACATTCAGACTCTGAGATTATCCAGGGATTTTTAATCATCTTTGGGGCAACATGCTGATGAATAAGACCTGTAGAAAGACTATCTCTGAGATCAGAGCAATAAATAAATATTCATGATCTAGCCAGTATGTGAAGACATCAGAAGCATGATTTTGACCCTTTGTGCAGAGGGCAGGCAAAACAGAGGCAATATTTTGATTAATCGAGTTGCCTCATGTGGTAGCATTAATTTAATACTTGCATACCGCACTTCCGGTAGAGCACAGCGGTGGTGGTAAATCTACCCAGTGTCTCCTCCTCATCCTTCCTGTGGGTAACAACGACTGGCCTGCCTCTGACCAACATCCTGCCCTACACTATGTCCCTGATACATGAAGTAGTCCCCTTCCCAGAGGTCTCCTTTCTACTCTTTCTTCCTGACCCCAGTCCCCTTCTCCCCTGTGGGGCCTTCTGCTTCCATCCAGGCCCAGTTCAGACACACACCCACCTGGGAGTGAAGTCAGGAGGGATGAGTGAACCTCCAAGGACACTTGCAGCAACATAAGCTCCCACTTGTTGGCACTCATACTTGCCTTGTTTAAGTAGGGTGAGCTAGATCATTCGTTCATTTAAGATATTTACTGGACCTGTTGCCTTCTACAAACAGATGCGAGAACGTATGTATTGATTTGCATTCTTACTAGCAGTTGCCATTTATTGAGCAATTAATTGGTCAAGGGCTCTTCAAAGTGTTAGTGATTTAATCTTTATGTGATGGTTAATTTTATGAGTCAGCTTGGCCTTGGTGCCCAGATACTAGGTTGGACATTTTTTCTGGAGGTATTTTCAAATGAGATGAACATTTAAGCCAACAGACTTTGAGTAAAGCAGATTAGTCTCTAGAATGTGGGTGGGCCTTGTGCAATAAGTTGAAGGCATCAATAGACAGAAACTGACCTTCCCTGAGCAGGAAGGAATTGTGCCAGCACACTGCCTCTGCACTGAGCTGTGGCCTTCCTTGGGTCTCCTGTCTGTTGGCCCGCCTTGCCGATTCTGGACTTGCCATCCTCCACCATTGTGTGAGCCAATTCCTTGAGACAAATCTCTCTCTCCCTCTCTCTTTCACTCTGTCACTGTCTCTCTCTGTTTGTCTGTATATCTCTCTAAACACCCTGTCAGTTCTGTTTCTCTGGAGAACTCCCATTAATAACACACTTTATAGCTTAACCATTTATGCCCATTTTACAGATGAGAAAGTTGAGGTGCTAAGCACCATGCCCAAGGGTAGACACTTGATGATCATGGAGCCAACATTCCAGGCTAAAGTCCTTTTGAGCCACAGCACAATATGGCGTCTCCTTCATGAATCTGAGTGATGAGAACATAGTGACCTGCTCATAACACACACTATATTCTTTTTTTTAAAATTTATTTATTTATGATAGTCACAGAGAGAGAGAGAGAGAGAGGCAGAGGGAGAGAAGCAGGCTCCATGCACTGGGAGCCTGATATGGGACTCGATCCCGGGTCTCCAGGATCGCGCCCTGGGCCAAAGGCAGGCGCCAAACCGCTGCACCACTCAGGGATCCCAACTATATCTACACTATATTCTACAAAGTGTCTCTCCTTTTTAATATTTACCAGCTACATTGGGTTCTTATCATTCCCACTGAAGTGCAAAAATGTCCATCCGCAGAGAAGGCTGGTCAACAGGAGGCTGTGTCACAGCACGTGTACTTGCTTGACCTATTTAGGTCCTATATACGAAATTATCTCCTTCACAGTCATAATGTCCCAAAGTATCTTGAAATAACCACACAACTTCCATACACAGTCAACTGTGAGGACTTTAGGAGCACGAGGAAGAGCTAAATAGACAACAGTTTAAAATTCATGGTTTTGCTAAAAATTAGATTACATCTCCCCTCCGCTTCCGAACAGGCCGTTAAAATAAAGAGAAATAAGCAGTACATGTGAATGAAATTAAAATAGAGAAAAACAAACAGCACACACAGAGTCCCCGAGCCTCTTGATGTCTTCCCCGTGGGCTAAAGTCCCAAATTGAGGTCAAAACTTCAAAAGTAGCCTCGAACTGGAACCTTTCCACAGGAAGAGCCAGCAGTAAATATTGACTCCGGGATCAATTGTTTCTGTTTAAGCTCCAGTCGGCGAGAGCAAGCCAGGTCACATTTGAGAAGGAGCTGCTTTTTCAGGAGGACTTGTCACCCCCAAGAGCATAGAGATCATCTCGCTGCCTCTGAATTGAGATCATTCTTCCCAGAATGGAGAAGATGGCGGTGAAGATACTGATCATGTTTGTTCTTGGAGCGCATTACCCATCTTGCGCAGGTAAGGGACTCAAAGACACGGCCCCCTGCCCCTAATGCTGTGGCGCCGTCCTGCCCTGCGGGCCTTGTCTCACTGTGTCCCTGTGTGCTTGTGTGTTCAGGTTTTCCCGTGTACGACTATGACCCGTCCTCCCTGCGGGAAGCCCTCAGTGCCTCTGTGGCAAAAGTGAACTCCCAGTCTCTGAGCCCGTATCTGTTTCGGGCGTTCCGAAGCTCAGTAAAAAGAGTAAGTGCATGCTATACCTTCTTGATTCCGATGTATACTGCTCTCCGTTATTCATTTATTTGTTGATCTGTTGGGTACACTTTAAAAATGTTTCCACTTTAAAAAGATAAGAGCTAGTCCTCTCTTTCGTGCTGTTTTCTGACAGAGGAAGAATTGAATAACACTTATTGTCCAAAACCACTTTGGATGCAGGATTCTTCTGGAACTTTGCCCCTCTGGCCTGGCTTCCTATTTCCAGATGTCGCCCTTGGTGTGTCCTCCTTCTGTATCCAAGGTCCCTGTGGTTCTTCTTGAGATATTTTATTAAGAGCTTGTTTATTAGAAATGAGGCTTTTTCAATTTCAGCTGCCCTGCTCCTCATACTTAGGGCAATAAATTCTGGCTTTTAAGCCCAAGAAATCCCACCTTCCTTTGTCAATTTGGTAATGGTCTGTTTCCCGTTAGCTTGGGGAAATGGGGAAAACATGAATTTTCTTGGTTTCCCAATGATTCAGTCTGTGATTGGTGAAGAAGAAAGAAATGCAGAGATCGGCTTCAGAGGAAATGAGAAGGCTGGACAGCAAGTCACCTTCCCCTCCTCCATCCGCAGGTGACTTCACGGCCTACCGTCTAGGGAGCAGTAGGAACAGACATTCCCCTGGGCTAGTGGGTGCTAAGATGGGAGGTGGGAGAAGTTCTGTAAAGTCACGGGTCGCATACATGAGGGCTCTGTGCAGCTCCATGCAGCCAGGCCGTGGGTTGCAGGAGGGGTAGAGGAAGAGGGAGACAGAAAATCCTCAGTGAATGTGGAGCCCAACACAGGACTTGATCTCACAACCCTGAGATTGTGACTTGAGCCGAAACCAAGAGTCGGACGCTCAACTGACTGAGCCACCTGAGCACCCCTCAGTTGTCTTTTCTAATTGGGCCATAGGTCATGAAGATGATGGGCTGTGTTTTAGCTGGGGGTCCAGCCCAGGAGCAGGTTGTCTCGGCCAGGGCGGGGTCACTTGGCACTGACATTGTGATTCGGGGGGCACCGGGAGGTATGTCAGCTGCCAAGTGACATTCCTTCCAGAAGAGCACAACATCGGAATAAAGAACCCGCTTTTTGCTTACTGGCTGCATTGGCCTCCATCTTTTGCATTTTGTGAAATCCGCTTGTGGCGGGAGGGGATCACCATCCTCTTGCTGAGCTCACAGATGAACAGTTTAAGTCCACCCGTAATCTAGCTAAGACTCACGACAGAAGAAAGTTAGTGGTTAATAAAGTGAACAAGAATGTGAGGCCGGGTCAATTACTGACGCCATGGAAATGCGGCCTGTGGAGACGGGCTAGCAGCAGGCCCAGCCGCCCAGGGCTCATCCGGGCCTGTGTACCGGCTTGTATCGGACACCTGAGCCCAGACACACGTGTACCTGCCAATCAGCTCTGTTACGTGTGTGTGCGTGTGATCCTTCATGAGCTCACTCGCAGGAGATGCCTCTGCCTCCTGGATGCTGCTCTTCGAGCTGGGATTCTGCTTTGCTCTAATGACTAAGTGTGTTGAGCAATAAGATATAGCAAATATTTATAATTTTTGATCTCATAGCTTCACTTCTAGGAATATGTCCAAAGGAAATAAGTCGTGCCCATACACATGCAGGAGGTTCAGGGATCTGGTCAGTGGACTCAGGGAGGAGAGCCAGGCCCTGCTACTTTATTCCTAAGTTTGATCCCGGAGCCCAGCAGCTCTGGACCTGTTGCACATCAGTGTCCCTGAGACCCGGAGCTACTGATGTCCAGGAGGGATGGTCGACTACTAATGTCTCGGTCTGCAGGGGTCAGGGCCGTATTCTTCAGTGTTCTCCTGGTCATTCATGACTTGAGCTGAAGGCAGATGCTTAACCAGCTGAGCTACCCAAGGCAGTTGGGGTTAAGAACCACTAAGTTTTACCAAATGGATCTGGATTTTTTTTAAAGGTTTTATTTATTTATTTGAGAGAGAGAGTGTGGGAGAGAGCATGAGCAGGGGGAGAGGGAGAGAGAGAAGCAGACTCCCCACTGAGCAGGGAGCCCGGTATGGGGCTCAAACCCAGGACCCCAAGGTCATGACTTGAGCTGATGGCAGATGCTTAACCAGCTGAGCCACCCAGGCGCCCCTGGATCAAATACTCTTGTAATGCATTTTAAATGACTTATCTCTTGTGCCCCAAGTTCAAAAAAAAGACAGAAGGGAACAAGACTATGTGACTTCAGCAGTGATGATGGTTTCCTTGCTCTGTCACTGACTCGGGGTTCGCTCAGATTCTTCCCTCGGGACACAGGCGTGGAAAGGAAAGGTGGACACAAGCCCTGTGCTGGGAGGAGGAAGAGAAGAGGACAGAGCTCCGTCCTTCTGGGGAGAGAGGAAGGGGGGCAGAGACAGAGGGAGAGGAGGAAAGACAGGAGGACGGGGTGCACAACCACACAAACAAACGAAGTTGGTTTCAGAGAGTGGGGAGTGCCGTGGGGAGGACGGAACAGGAGGGGGGATGATGGATGGGCTGGGCCGGGGCAACTGTCAGCCGAGGCCCAAGCCTCTGGGGAGGCCGCTGTATTCCGGCCCCACTCAGTCAATGACAAGAACTTCCAACCGTGAGGAGACCCCCGGGGGGACCCGAAGGACCAAAGGCCTTGAGAGAGAGAGTCGGGTTTGGGCCAAGTGACGTCGGAGAGCAGGGTCTGAGTTGGGACCTGAGGTGGACATGCCCAGGGCATGACTGAGGATCCTGAGGACTGTGTTAAGGACAATGGAACAAGCATGAAAGTGCTGGGACATCTTTGTACCTGGACAAGGTCTGTGTAGCTGCCGTGGGGAGCGGGGTGCTAGGGAAGAAGCCGAGACAGTGACCTTAGGAAGCAGGCAGCGGCAGGGGTGCAGGTGAGCCTGGCCTGGGTGCAGGGAGGGTGGGGGCCGCTGGGTTCCAGGACAGCCAGAGGCAAAGCTGCGGAGGGTTGGGGATCCTTTGTATGTGTGTGTCCACTTCTGCCCATTTTTACTGTCATCTTTGCTTTTTTTTTTTTTTTTTTTACTGTCTGGCTTTCTAAATTATTCTTAACCAGCTGGACTTGATCTTTAATTTTTGTCCAATCATAATGAAAAACCTAAACGATCGCCGTGCTCATCAGACTTCTCTAGAGCAGAACAAATAGTGTGTGTGTGTGTGTGTGGGGGGTGTGATGAAAGAGAGAGAGAAAGAGAGAGGGGGAGATGGGGGAGGGGGAGAAGGAGAATTAATGAGTGAGAGACATTTATCATAAAGCATTGGCTTACACCATGTGGAGGTCTAGTAAATACAAAATCTGCAGGGTGGGCTGGCTGGTTGGAGGTCCAGAAAAGAGCTGAGGTTGCCCTTCACGTCCGAAGGCCGCCTGCTGGTGGAATTTCTTCCTGCTCAGGAAAGAGACAGTCTGTGCTATCCAAGCCTTCAACTGATTGGGTGAGGCCCACCCACATTAAGGAGGATGATCTGCTTCACTCAAATCCGCTGATTTAAATGTTAGTCCTATCCAAAAAAACACCTTCTAAGAAATACCCAGAGTGTCTAACCGACTATCTCAGCACCATAGCCTGGTCAAGTTTGACACATAAAATGAACCATAATAATCACCAAAAGGAATTGCGATGGGGTTTTTAAAATTTTTATTGCTTATATATTTTTATTTCTTTTTGGAATAAAACATCAAAATACTCTTGTTATGAAAAGTCAGAAAATATAATAATATAACTATATATATGTGTGTGTGTGTGTATATATATATATATATATATATATATATATATAAAACAAGAGAAAAAAAAACCCAAAAGTACTATCTATTATTCATTCCTCTGAGACACCCACTGTGAGTGTGTGGGAGAAGGCCTTTTTGGATCCTTTTCATATTTTGGTATAAAAAAAAGTATTTTTTAAAGAAAAACAGGAGCAGAGTTTCATAAAATTCGGCAATTGACTTCAGCAACAATACTGGGTTTGGGATTTTCTCTAGTTGATTCCTTATCCTTGAATATTGAGGTTGGCCCACCTTTTTCAAACACAGGGTGGAGTTAGGCTGGTTGAAAGTGAGTTCAGATGAGGAAGCAAAACCTTTAGGCTTTTCTCCTTCTCCTGAACTGAATGCTTACAAGTGCTTAAAGATACAAAAAAAAAAAAAAAATGTTGCAAACTCATCTCATGGTTCAATAAAATTATCTGTACTCAAAAAAATCCCACATTTTCCTCTTTCTAACCAAGCCTCTGTGTTGCTAATTTGCTCTCATCTGACTTCTTTAAGGGAAACTGCCTAAGCAGGACCTGGGTGGAGAGCCTCAACCACATGCTTCAGCAGAAGAGGGCTTTATTTTATTTTATTTTATTTTTTTAATGAGACTCAGATTTATTACCCACTATTTCAAAATTATGATTAAAGGGGTAATAAATATTGTCAAGGTGGAATTTTTAGTCTGACTTTTTTCCAGAAAACACGACTTCTATAACTACGCCTCACCCAGGGTTAGGAGGAGACACGAAGCCCCCCACCCCGCCCTCCGCCGCATCCCAGGCTTGGAGTTTGCCACTTATTTCCACACACAGTGTTTTGCCTGTGCCCTTTCTTCCCTACGTGTGAGCGGCCTGTGCTCTCCCAGGGTTCTCTCCACCCTGTCCTCCCTGGGAAGTCAGTTAAATGCTTCAGCTTTGTCACAAGGTGGGTTCAAGAACTGAAAGGGAGGAGAGTTTGGGGGCCGGGAATGTGGTTGGGTGCTGGGCCAAGGCAGCTCCCGTCTCGCTTCCCTGCCGCCTTCTTGTTCCCGCCCCAGTGTGGTCTCTGCAGCTGCTGTGGTGATTCATGTTTCAGCTCTTAAATCCTTCTGGGAATTTCCCATTGCAATGAGAATGAAATCTAAATACTTCCATGGGTGACAGGACCATAAATGACCTGACACACCCCATCTCTTGTACTTCATGGTGTCCGGTTCCCCTCTTGTTCATTTTGCTGGAGACACAATAGCTGGCCTTGTTCTGCCCCAGGACATTGGCACTGCTCTTTCCACACATGATGGGCTCTTTCCCATTCTATAAGCCTCAGGGGAAAATATTTCTCCCTCTGGAGGATTTCTCTGGTACTTTCTCTGCAGTAGGTACTTCCTCCTCCTGACTCCCCACCGCCCCCCCCCCACTACTATGTTGTCTCTTCCCTCAAAACATCATAACCTCGGGATCCCTGGGTGGCTCAGCGGTTTGGCGCCTGCCTTTGGCCCAGGGCGCGATCCTGGAGACCCGGGATCGAATCCCACGTCGGGCTCCCAGTGCATGGAGCCTGCTTCTCCCTCTGCCTGTGTCTCTGCCTCTCTCTCTCTCTCCCCCCCTCTCTCTGTGTGTGTGTGTGTGACTATCATAAATAAATAAAAATTATAAAAAACAAAAAACAAAAAAAATCATAACCTCTAGAACAACTTTGCTTAGTTTTCTCTAAGGTGTTTACTGTGTGGCTGTCTGTAATCTAAGCAGGAATCTAAGCTGCAAGGAATCTTCCCTGCTCTGGCTTGGGGGTAGGACACACTGTGGGCGCTCATTAAGTCACAGGACTTCCGTGTCATTAGAGCATCACAGATTCATCATGAAGCTTGGAGGTTTCCCTTCATATCCCAGCCTTGGTGGAAAGGAATAGACAATTGTGTGAACTCATTCATGGATCACAGCTGATCAAACAGGAAGCAGGACTGGGTAGTTCTGTTAATTTCTTATGGATTATTAAGAAATTATGGGGCATTCTTTTAGGAAAATGATCCTTGAAGATACACATAGTTGATTATCATTATTTGTGGTAGTTATGTCCTATAACGTCAGAATGCACGCTAAATTAGTGCGTACTGAGCCATTGCTCCTGGTCTAACACCCTGCACACTAAATTAGCACATACAACTATTGCTCCTGTGGCACATCTGAGCCCTCTGTTCTAAGGAGCATGGACAGCACTCTAGGACTTACACTTGGGGGCCATTTTATTTTATTTTAATTTTTTAAAGATTTTATTTTTTTATTCATGAGAAACACAGAGAGGGAGAGAGAGGCATAGACACAGGCAGAGGGAGAAGCAGGCTCCATGCAGGGAGCCCGACGTGGGACTTGATCCTGGGTCTCCAGGATCACGCCCTGGGCTGAAGGCGGCGCTAAACCACTGAGCCACCCAGGGTGCCCTGGGGGACATTTTAAACAACAAAATCACCAAGAAAAAAAAATGAAGAAAACATGGTCCAAACTAAACCATGAACGTGACACTTGTCTACAGTACGACAGCGGAGGCTGGACGGCAGAGCGCTGCCCTGTCTGGTCTCAGCTGGGAATGTGAGCATGGGGCAACTCAAGTTTTCCACCACTGTAAGCATGACTGCAAAGGAAGCCTGAACGTTGATTTGGGGGCCTATGAATAAATTTCAATGAATAGGCAGATTTGCAAAACCGGAATCTCTGAATCATGATGATCTATTGTAAATGTAAGTCATCAGGAGTGACGTCGACCTTGCAGCTCAGACATCTGAGTTCTGGTTGCATTTTTTTAAATGAAGTACCATGTGCCTTTGGAATAGCACCTCTTCCTCTGGTCTCCGACTGAGGGGGTGGCACAGGGGATTGCTGAGGCCACTTAGAGCTTTCACCCCGAAGGATTCAGGGAGAAACCCTCGTAGCACTGTAGACTTCAGAGGCTCCCCAAGGCAAACTGATGCTTTGTTTTTGTGAAGGTGTATGTTCTGGATCAGGACAGTGTGAACATGGACCTGGAGTTTGGCATTCGGGAGACAACATGCAGGAGAGATTCTGGAGAAGACCCCGCGACCTGTGACTTCCAAAGGGGCTACTACTCGGTAAGTGTGGCAGGAAATGCCATAGCGCAGAAACTAACATGACAAGGGCCTCAATTCTTGCTTCTTCCATGACCTGGAGTTGTTCCAAGTCATATGGAAAGCTTGGCCCTTGCCTGGCATCCGGCCACAGTGGGAGGCACCAGCTGTGTCCATACTGTGTTCTCTGGGCAGGGGCGGTGTGGCTCCGTGGTTGAGGTCTTGGGCTACGGAGTCCAGGGGGGTCTTGAGTGATCCTGGCAAATTATTTAAACCCTGTGACCTCAGTTTTCTGCTCTTTGAAGTGAATATAATGATGGTTCCAGGCAAGGTGAATACAAAGAGGCCAACCCCAAAGGCAAATTCCAGACATGTTTTAAAAGAATCTACAACACCAACTGTGTTCTTGGCATGAGTTGCATTATTTTGTAGTTGACTTATTTTGCAGTTGACTGTTGTATAATATCTGTCCCCCACCCCCTTGATGGGCTCGGACTCCAAGGGGTCAAGACCTCGGTGTGTTCACTCTTGTATCCTGGTGACCAGAACATGGGCCGCCACTGGGTTCACACCCACGGGCAAGAGTTGGGCGGAGCAGGCCAGCACCAAGCCAGCACTTGCTCTCCAGGATGATTCTGTTCAGCTGCATGTGTTCTCAGGGTTCTGTCCTTCATCAGCTTGTTACTTGAGTTACGTTAGGCCAGGGCCCTTCCCAACAGTGTAAAATTCTGGAAAAGGAAGCCTTTGTTTTGCTACTTGTTTCATGAGACTTTTCTCTGGGACTGTTTTAGGAAGGACTCAAACCCAAGGGTCACAGCAAATGTTCTTAAGGAAGCCTGAGGTCAAAGGAGAGGAGATGAAAGTCCTTTGGGTTCTCCCCACTTCCTTTTGTTCCACTGGGAAGCTTCAGGGCCACCGGCTCCCTGCTCCTGGAGAGAATGGTTGCTCTCCCGGGGGACTCGTGATGCGCCAAATGCCTAACACATCTTTTTTAAATGTTTCGTTTGTTTCAGCTTTGGTCTTGAGAAATGTTCATTTTGGAAACATGAAATGCCTGTTTGCATCATTCTTCCAGGACTTACATTATCACTTGATCTCTCAGATAGGTCCTAATCCTTTCCATGAGCTGCTGAGGAGGGAACTCACCGTTTTCTTTTCCAGCCGGCAGCTGTTTGCAGAAGCACCGTGCGGGTGGTGGCGGAGCAGGTGCAAGACGTGTGGGTTCGCTGCCAATGGTCCTCCAGCTCAGAGTCTAACAGCAGCGAAGAGGTAGGACCAGGGGCTTGGTGTCCTCCAGGACAGCACCTGGTAGGGTCGGTGTAGGTCTGAGACAAGCAGACCGCTGGGACAGAGTCTCGGGAACATCTTCCAGGCAGGGGCGAGCACAGCTCTGCTTATTCAGCTGGAGCCTCCCCTACTTCTCCAACCTCTTTTCTCTCTCTCTTTTCCCACCTCTGTCCTTGTTTCCCAGAGATTTGGAAACAGAGCACTTACAGCAACAATTAGCAAATCTTGAAAGTTTTAGGTCTAAGTATGCAGCTCCCTGGCACTGTGGTTTAGTGGAGGGAAGGGGGAGAAGCATTTTTGTCGGACTGGAGTTCAAAGCCATTTAGCAGCTCTGCAGTCTAGGTCAGGGCACTTAACACCACGATCTGATGCCTCTTCATGTGTGAGATGCCAGGAGTAAAATCCACTTCAGAGTGTTGAGAGAATTGAATATGTTGATAGACAAGGAAGATCTGGTCTACAAGAGATGCTTGGTGAATGGCAGGACATGGCTCATCCCACCCCAACTGCACTGAAATGCTTGTTCAATGAATATTAGAGGAAGAGAGGCTCAAGAATATGATATGAGGAAACCTCCTATCAAACCTCTTGACTCCAACTAAGCATGAATATAATTGTTATATTACTTATCGAAATGGGATAACATTCTTGACTGGTGTTTTAAAATATTTCTACCGTGGGACAGCTGGGTCTGTCCCACCATGATCTTTCTCTATGTACATTTTTGTTCAGTTTTTCAAGATTTCATTCTGTAGGTGAAAATTACATTAAAAGAGTAAAGAATCATACAGTTTCAAGAATTATACATAAAAATTAATGTTCCCATATTATGAACATCCACGCAGCTTAAATATTTCACATGGAAATCCATTGTAGGATCAGGATGTGGAGAAGCTAATGGCTAGGAGCGCCCATGAGAGGGAACAGTTTGACAGGTGCAGGATGACTAAGCCTAGGTATTGGGATTTTCTCCACAGAAATGTTCGATTGATCTCAAGCACGCTGGAGACCTTTGAGGATCAATCCACAGGGAAGCCCCAATTTTGGGCTTTCCAGAGAGCCATGGTTTCAGGATCTAGTTCCTGGGTGTTCGGGCAAATATGAAGGGCTTCCTTTTCTGGACTCCACTGAAGCACCTAGGAAGTCAGATGTGTTTCCACGCTGACACACTCACATGCCTGTGGCCCTGCTAATCCAGAAATGACAAGGACTAAGCACAGCATTTCACAAACTCTTTGTTCATATTGATTTTGTGACTTATATGGGAACAGCCAGGGAGACAGTGGGGACAGGGACAAACAATGCTATCCCTCATGGAGTTTGCAGATCAGTGGGGCGGGGTGGGGGATCCATCCAGCAGGGGAAGCCTTGACTCCAGGGTAAGCATTTGGGGGCACATGTCAAGAGGACAAAATATCGCCCGGGCACAGGAGTGTCCCTGGGGGAACTGACGTTCACATCAAGAACTTCCATCAACAAAGAGGACAGGTGTTTAGGGAAGGGAGGCAAAGTGATCCTAAGCACTCGGGGATTAGGAGGGAGTTCCCTGAAATGCAAGAGAAGCTTGTTGGGTGGGAATGGATAGAAGTCGTTATGGTGGCAATGAGCAAAATGGGGACAGTGGCATAAGGTTGATATGGAGAGGAAGTTAGGATGGACCTCTGGGGTCAAGTCTAGGATCTCTGGCTTCACCCCAGCGTCAACGGGCCTATTGATGGCAAAGAGCAAGTGGGAGCTCTAGGAGGCTGGCGGGACAGGTGAGAGGGAATGCTAACATAGTGTTGAGAAAAGGATTCTAGTTCCTTCTATGACCTTTAACACATTGAACTGAATTTAGTAACTGCCCTCCCCCCCATTTAACCCCTCTTCCATCTCTTATTTGGGAAGCTGATTCTGATCACACAACCCACAGATCTGTTGCAACTTTCTCATTGCATAGTGAGGACTATGCACTTTTTTTCCAAGTTTTGTAAGAAGACTCTGACACTAAGTCAAATTGGCCCTTGAAACAGACCATACTTTAAAATAAACTCTCAGGTGGTTGTTCCTCAAAGATTAGGAAATTATAAAGAATTATGAGCCAATTAAAAAAAAGAATTCCTTAAATTAAAGAATTCTGTGATTCAAAGGAAGAAGAAGAAAGCAGATGGAGATTTCAAGTAATTCCTGGAAACTCTGAAATAGATTTCTTATATGAAACAGAAAAAAAAATGGAAAACAGCTGTTAACCATTTTTGGTGAAATAAGCAGTGATATTACAAACATAAAAGAGAATAGACTAGGATGAATTTAGTCATCAAACAAGTAAATCATTGTTGGAAGTAAGAAATAGAAGAAATAAAACCGAAAAAAAAATCCAGGAGTAATGAAAAGGAAGATCATTTGAAAAACATATGTAGGTTATAGCAAAATTTCCAGGGAAAGGAACATAATGTGAAGAAAGGTGTGAGCCATGGAGGATAAGACCGAAAATCCAAAATATGAAGAAAAAGGACTTTGATCAAATGGAAAACACCTTGTAAGGATATGATTTGAGAAACCCCAAATGCAAGAAGTTTGGATTCCCCTTTACATGATTTTAAAAAGGATAAAAGCTGCAAGGAAATTTGAGAAAATACACGTTTCTAAATTTGCTAATATTCTTCTCTCTTTAACCAAATACATAGTTGTGTTGCAGATAGTCTCTATCATTTGTGCTAATTTTGAAAGTGAAGTATGGAGATGATAAAGGTCACCGGACGGCAGAGGAGCACAAGGTCAACCACTTCTCCGTTTTGTCCTGTCCAAAGCGTGACGCTAACACCTGTAGGTTGACCAGTGAACTTGCCTTTTTTTTTTTTAAGATTTTGTTTATTTATTCATGAGAGACACACACACACACACAGAGAGGGAGAGAGAGAGAGAGAGAGAGAGAGAGAGAGAGAGAGAGAGAGAAAGGGAGAAGCAGGCTCCATGCAGGGAGCCCGATGTGGGACTCCATCCCGGGTCTCCAGGATCACACCCTGAGCCAAAGGCAGACGCTTAACCTCTGAGCCACCCAGATGTCCCTGAGCTTGACTTTTGACAAACCCTGATTAGGAGTAGATGCAATGAGATTTGGCCTAGAAACAGTACAAAGGCGAAACTGAGGAAGTCACTAACACGGAATTCTGAGCTCAGGGGAAGGGAGCTGATAGGCATTGGGTTCACTTGCTGTGTTCCACTTCCAGTGATAGAAATTCAACTACTGGGCCGCTTGGGTGGCTCAGTCGGTTAAGTGCCTGCCTTCGGCTCTGGTCGTGATCTCAAGGTCCTGGGATCCAGTCCCGCATCAGGCTCTCTGCTCAGCGGGGAATCTGTTTCTCCCTTTCTCTCTGCCTGCTGCTCTCTGTCTCTCCGTCAAATAAATAAATAAAATATTAAAAAAAAAAAGAAGTTCAACTACAAGTCTCCTAAGCCCAAGTGGGATAAGTCCCTGGATCACATTCGCAGAAAGGACGGGGAAGAGTTGGCCTCACGAACCAGTTAATTTTAGGAAACTTCAACACCACCTTTGCCATGTTAATTTCTCCCCCCTCCGCCTTCCCCTCCCCTCCCACCCTCTTCTGTCTCCCTTGCCCCATCTTCTCCTTCTCTTACTGCAGATGAGCTTTCACCTTGTAGCAGGAAGCAAGGTCACAAGGTGCTCCAGGTTCAAGTCCTCTAAACTTAGGCGGAAAAGGGAGCATTTCTCTCTAGCTCCCCTGGAGATACCTCTTGACATGACTCCTGTTGGCCTGGCTCTTTGGTCATGGGTCCCCCCAACCCCCACCTTCTTAAAATTACACCTTTATTGAGTTTAATCTACATAGTACACAACTCACCCTGACAGTGTGTCCAATTCAGCGGTTTTTAGTATAGTCATAAGGTTCTACAACCAGCACCACATTCTAAATCCAGAACATTTTCATCACCTTGAAAAGAAATGACAACCATGAGTCGTCATTCTGCGTTCCCCATTCCCCCAGCCCCCAGCAACCACTCATCTACTTTCTGGGTCTACGGATTTGCCTCTTCTGGCCGTTTCGATATAAATGGAATTACACGGTATGTGTCCTTCTGTGACCGGCTTACCTCCCTGAGAATCATGTTTTGGAGGTTCACACCTGTTGTAAGATGTATTGGTACTTTGTTCCTTTTTAGTGTTGAATTAGATTGTTTGTAGGGATATACTACTTTTGATCGATCCATTCATTGGTTGTAACATTTGGGTTACTTCCATTTTTTGGCTGTTATACATAATGATGCAGTGAATATTCTTGTGTGAGTTTTTGTGTGGACTTAGGTTGTTCTGCGGGCTTTCAGTGGCTTTCTGATGCCTTTTCCAAACTGAACACATTCTGAGAACTTCATGACAGGAAACCTCTACATCTGATCTAAATGCAGTCTATTTACAAGTCCGCCTAAAATGTTCCATCTTTCTGGTCCCCAGTATTTGGGAGCACATTCTGAGTCTAGTAGAAAGCTTTTCAGGCAATTTAAATTCACGTAAGTTGCTCTTCCCATATGTTTCCTTAGGCACACATAAGACATCACATAAAGTTATTTAATAAAATAAATTGCACTTATTTCATTAACAATGAATTATGTAATGTGTCAGAGTCCTCCAGATGATATTTGCATTTTTTACAGTGTCTCTTTCTTCTCTCTTTTCATGTGCTGATTCATTCCGACACCTACGTTGACTTAGATGTTTTTGGGGGACGTATTGGGATCCTCTCAATGGAGAAACAACTACCTACTTGGTGAGTTGAGATCTGTTCTTTTTAATGTTTTTTTCTTTTTCTTGAAACAGCTTCATAGCGAAGCTCTGTTAGTGAGTCATTTAAAACTGGAAACATCGATACGTAACCTGTGAACAGTTATAGTAATTCTAGAAAATGAACATTCTCTTTATTTTTGCTCCTTTCTTACCACTAGGCAATAAAGATACAACTTTTCACTTCGCTATCCTTTTCTATTCTTTTCTATCCAGAGATTTTCCATACATGAGTCCATCCAATGGCCCCATGTGTCAAATAAACAGGGCAGATGTTGGACCACACGTTGAGAGGGTCCCCTGACTCAAACAGGGTTGTTTTGTCCTGGGTGCACAGCCCAACTTCCAGGACCCAAGTGTGCAATAATGTGTGGCTGGACTGTCTGGACTAAAGCTCATCTAATTGATTGAGGTTGAATTCTGTAACCCTCCAACCACGTGATGAGAGGAGACCATCCCTTTAAGGGGCTTGGTTGGGGGACAGAGGGACCTCTGTTCTTTACATTTGAAGTGGGGTAGGGATAGGGTCCAGTGGGTTAGGAGCCGTTTTTAGTTTTCTGGGGCTTTTTCCTATTGGTGCTGATGGCAGCAAAACTATTTGATGATCTTTCACTGCTGCCTTGCTTCAGAGGCATATTTGAGGCATCAATAATAAACTCACAGAACATTCTGGAAGTGGGGAGAGGGGTCTTGTCTTATGACTATTCCTGCATTACAGGTCTCATTTCTGAAAAACCCAGAAGTGAACAATTGCGTGAACGGTCAGTTGGTAAGTGGTCCTACTTTCTTCCATTTGACACCAACAGATGCTTCTGGGATCAAGCCAGACGTGGCTGAAACCATTTCATAGTAGATTAGCCCCTGAAATGCAAAATATTTGAAATGAAAACGAAAAGAACACTACTGCATAAACTTGCTTTGCAAGTCACTGAAAAGGTAAACCTGAGGCATCACAACTCATTGAAAAGTTAGCAGGAATCAAAATGGCAACTCTGTTTAAATTTTTTTTTAATTTTTATTTATTTATGATAGTCACAGAGAGAGAGAGAGAGGCAGAGACACAGGCAGAGGGAGAAGCAGGCTCCATGCACCGGAAGCCCGATGTGGGATTCGATCCCGGGTCTCCAGGATCGCGCCCTGGGCCAAAGGCAGGCGCCAAACCGCTGCGCCACCCAGGGATCCCCAAAATGGCAACTCTGGGTCAGGATATCAGACCTGACTTTTCCTCTTGCCTCGTTGTGGGACGTTTTCTGAAAAAGCTCAAACTCTCTCGAACCCCTCTTTGCCTTCCTACCCTCAGCGGTCCTTTGGGACCAGCAGATGAATTAACGGTTCTTGCAGTTCCTCCCTCTTACATATGAGTTTTGCTCTCATTTAATCTTCAGGATAGATCTGCAAACCAGGTGTTGTATGACCTGCTTCAAGAGAAGAGAGGAATAATTCTAACTGCATATGCAAAACAGTTACTCTGTGCTAATTGCTTGGCGCTGCTTTCTCTTCACAACCATCCTGTGAGGCAGCACTATGTTCCTTCCCATTTTGCAGATGACCAGACTGAGCCTTAGTGAGTTTCTGTAGTATGTCCAAGGCTATACTGCCTACGTGGGCCTTGGATCCAGGTAGTGAGTGGCTGAGATAGGACTTTGATACAGGCCTGTCCGACTCTCCAGCTTTTGTTTTTGCCAGTGCTGTTTTCCCGAAGACTTGTGAATTTCACCCTATTTGGGAGTTCTTCATTAAAAAGAATAACACAGATATTAATATTTCACTGAGCTCAGTGTTGGGTCCTCACTAAGCATACTGCAATTTATTTGAAGTGCTGGGGTTTACCATCTGAGGCTTGATTTATTATTTTTATTTTTTAATTTATTTTTTTAAAAGATTTTATTTATTTATTTGAGAGAGAGAGAGAGAGAGCAGGGGGAGGGACAGAGAAAGATTCCTAAGCAGACTCTGAGCTGAGCCCAGAGCCATATGCAGGGCTCTATCTCACTACCCTGAGATCATGACCTCAACCAAAACCATGAGTTGGATGCTTAACCAACTGAGCCACCCGGGTATCCCCTGAGGCTTGATTCTAAACATAAAGGTTTTAGACACTCTCTGGGTTATTGCTTTGGGAGAACATATATTTATTCAAACAGTGTGACCATTGCTGAGGATATTTTTTTGAATGCTTCCTTTTTGACATTGCCTTCAGAATCTATGGCCCATTCTTTTGAATTGCTGTAGTGGAGGAAAATTCTTGTCCTTGGATTTGATTTTGGAAATAGCCAAAATAAATGTGATTAATCAGATTAATAACCAACTTGGGTGAATTAGTTGTATACTGCTGTGTGTCAAATTATCCCCAAACTTAGCAGTTTAAAACAATACGTGTTTGTTACAGTACAGTTTCTGAAGGTCAGGAACCCACAGGCCGCTTAGCCAAGTGGTTCTGACTCAGAGTCTCTTACAAGGTTGCAGATAAGATGTTGTCTGGGGCTGTGATCTCATTTGAAGGATTGTCTGGGTCTGAAAGATCCACTTCCAAGATCAGTCATGTGTTTGTTGGCAGGCCTCAGGTCTTCATGGGCTCTTGGACTGAGGGCTTCACTCCTTGTAGGTCTATCCATAGGGTTGTCTGAGAGTCCTCAAAATATGACAACTGGCTTCCCCTGGAGATAATGATCAGAGACAGAGGGGGAGAATGAGCAAGCCACAGAGCACCCAAGACAGAAGACACGGTCTTTTGTTACCTAATTTTGGAATTTGTATACCATCACTTCTAGGTATTTTATTAGTCGACAGGTCTACTCTGGCCCAGTGTGGGAGGGGAATACCTGAGTGTGAATACCAGGAGGCCATCTTGGAGGCTGGCTACTGCATTGGGAAAATGCCATTTGGGACCCAAAATATTTTATGGATATAAATTAATGTGATTGGGTACACCTGGGTAGCTCAGTGGTTGAGCATCTGCCTTTGGTTCAGGGTGTGATCCCGGGGTCCTGGGATCATGTCCTACATTGGGCTCCCCAGAGGGAGCCTGCTTTTCCTTCTGCCTGTGTCTCTGCCTCTCTCTCTCTCTCTCTTTCTGTGTGTCTCTCATGAACAAATAAATGAAATCTTTAAAAAAATTTAATTAATGTGATGGATCCTTTTTATATGGCTCAGAAGGTAATTCCAGAGCTGAATTTTAAAAACATTTTGGGACTTGAGAACATCATGGATGCAGCTCTGCAGCCATCTTAGAGACTGCTTTGAAGACCACAATTTAATTTATTTCACCAAATGTGTGTGGCAAGCACTGGGCAGATCTCATGGAGGACTGAAAGACAGAAGTGACCATCCTTGCTCTCGAGGCTTATAGTAGTGGCCGGGACAGATCACTCGTAGAGAGAAATAAGCATGGGTTCAGCTGCGACACCATGCAAGGGAGAGTGAGGGAGAGCCAGGTAAGGAAGACGGAGCTTGTCATGTTCTCGGGGATCTCTCAGCAGCGTGGGCCTGGTTGTGCCAATCACACCTCTGCCCACTGTTCATAGTTGTGGGGTCCACCTTGTCTCAGACCTTGGTGTGAATGATAGAGCCTATGTGTCCTTCTATCTATAGAGAGCCTGAGAAGGATCTTACCTCCCGGGAATCGAGGGTACCCGAACAGGTGGCACAGACTTCAGGAATAAACAGTGGCTTTGAGTAACGGCCTTGAGGTAAGGGGACACAGTTAAAATTGTGTATTTGGAAATCAGAGCTTCTTGGAGTGAGCACCTTGACACCACTGCCCTCGTGCCCCCATATGTCTTTCTCTGCCGCTCAGCTCCTGTGTTCGCTCGCCTTCCCACCGCCTGGTCTCCTCTCAGACACCATCCCTCCATCATCTCCCCCATCCCACGCTCCTCTAGCTTTCTCCTGTGGCTTTTCTGTTTGTCACCACTGACATGATCAAGTGTCCAGTTGAAGAGCAGACAGACGGAACAGGCCCTCCTTTGCCGCACCCCCATCCCAGCAACTGCCCTCCTCCTGCCCTGTGTGCTGAGCCTCTCCACGCAGTCATGGCCTTTGGATGCTGCCCCACCCTGCTCACCTCCCATTCACAGTCCGCTTTCTGCACCCTCGACTTTCAGCCCTGAGATCCACAAAATCGGGTCTGCCTTCCTTTCCGTGATCAATGCTTTAAATACCCATGACCATATGTGCTATGTCCTTAGCCCACGCTCTCCTTCTTCCGTAGACTGCTCTGTCCTCTCTCCAACTTGCCTTCATCAATGATCTGTAACTACTTCTGAGCACACATCTCTTACCATGCTTTGTCCGGAGACCTAGGTCCACTGGATGCAGTTGCTATGGGTACTCATGACCTTCTGGAACCCACCCGGCCCCCTCTTCAACCCCCTTTCTTAGTTGAGGGGGTTGCCATCCACCTAATTTTCTCTAGCTCAAAATTTTAGAGCAGCATTGATTCTTCTTTACCTCTTCTCTTCACCTGACATCCACAGGGGTCTGGCCTCATTGACCATGGCCTCACTTTCTCTCTGGCATTGGCCAATCATTTCATTACCATCACCCCTGACCGGTCCATGCATTCTTTCCCCAGGTCCTGATCTTATGCTGTCCACCTTGCATGCTGTCCTTGGACTTATCTTGAAACACAGAGGAGTTTCTGATCTTTCCACATAAGCCTCGTTTCATTGGGGATAAAGCAGAGGTGTGCAAAAGGCAGACACCAAGCCAAGACGAAGAGCAGCCTAGTTACTTCCAGTGTGGTGGGGAGCTGAAGACTGAGCCCTGGTTTACCAAGTCCTCACTGAGTACCACCAAGTATATAAATTCCCAGATACTAGGGATTGGAGCAGATGTAGCTAAGTCTTTTTAAAGACTCCCAAGTAGTAAGGGGATATCAGGAAGGAGACACTTAAAAAGAATCTTCAGATGTAATTATAGACATTGATTCAATGCACATTCATTTTTACACACGCACACACACACACACACACACACACACACGTTAATAACAAAGCTTGAGCCTTCACAGATTTTAGTTTACATAACACTGTACACCTTCAGGATGAAGTCCGAGCTCCTTAGCATGGCCCACAAAGGCCTTGGGGATCTGGCCCCTGCCCATTTCTCCAAGTTGGCTTCAGCCTTGAGCTCCGGCAGTACTGAGATGCTCACAACTCAACCTGCTGTGACTTCTGCATGGAACAGCCACCTGCTAATCCCTCCTACCAGCCAGGCCTCAGCGCAGTGTCACTTCCTATGGGACATCTACTCTGACCCCTTTCCAATAGTCCTCATCACAGAGCCCCCTGACGAGCCCCCTGCTCGTCTTGTCTCTGCCCCACCGGGCTACACCAGACTCTCTAGACCCAAGGCGCAGGGCATGTGACCTGCTTCCGTCTCCTAGTGCCCCGTACAGAGACTGTGCACACAGCACACACTCAGCAAGTATTTTTGAGTGGATGACGGAATCCTTCCCTTTAGGTTCCCGAGACTGTTATTTTTTTTTAAATCAGTTAAGCATAGTATAATTAATTTTTAACCACTGGAATTTGAAAAAAGTCAACTGACATTTTACTAAAATAGAAGGAAAATTTACCAGTGAGGCTGTATTGGATGAAAGATGCAAATGGTAGGTTTTCTTTTTAATCTATGTGCCTCCTAAAAATAAACACCAGCTTCATATGGAGATCTAGAAACTACTCATTATGAAGAAATGGACTCATCGTATTCCTTTTTTATAAATTTAAATCATATCCTTTTGCTTTACAGAGCATTCTCGGGGTGGGGGGGCAAAATAGAATTCTCAATGAACTGGCTGCATTTCATTTACTGATAATACGATTCTATTGGGCGTATACACATACACATATGACAATATAAATTCTTGATTTGCTTTCTTTAACAAAATGGATTGCCAACCAAATGTCTCTTTAAAGGCAGCGGCCATGAAAGGCTCAACACTGCCACCCTCCTCTGGACATTGACTTTGACTTAAGTCTTAGTTCTGTCCCTGCCACCTCCCTCCCCCGACCTTCAGATTTCCCCACTGTGCTCCAAATTTCCTAGTTTCCCAAAACGAGCCTGGGAAGGCCAGCACAGGGTCTGGAATCAGTGGACCTGGCTCTGAGCCTGCGCTGCCATCACAACCTCTGAGCTAGCACTCCAGTCTCACGTCCTCCAAAGGCTTATTATTATTTTTGTCCTTATTTTGGTCCCTGCTAGACCTCGACCTCCTTGGGGGTCCAGGTCCTTGTCATTCTTATTCATTATCTTAGTTTACTCCCATAAAGTTGAGAACGCTGTCTAGAACATAATAAGGGTTCGATCAGGTTGGAAGGAAGGAAGGAACACATGCATGACTCAAATCAGAATGATGACTCTCAAGCTGTGAATGACATTTTTCCAGTGTGGAGCTCCCTGAAGGCAGAGGCTTTGGTTCAAGGGAGCACGGCACCCTCAGAGGCTCCCTGACAGGGGCTGAGTGTTTTTGTAATTTAATGCACACTGTTCTAGGATTCTTTCAGGTGACCAGAAAATCATTTCATTCACAGGCATAGAGAGCAAAAGGCAATGTTTAAATACGAGCTTTGGCACTCTTCCTCTTTTGCTACTCTTTTAAAATAGGGGCCGTGAAAATCAGGGCCCACATCTCACGCTGTTAGGGATCGGAGTGTCCAACACCTGCTTGATCTTTCTGGCTGGAATAGTTCACGCTCTTTAATTATACAGTGACCGGGTGGCCACAAACCACACGGAGGGCACCCAAGCCACAGCGGCGTGAGCAAGGCTTTTTCCATTACGCTGCAGTGTCGATTCGTGTGGACCCCTGAAACTCTCTGGCCCAGAGCAGCGAAGCAGGCCGTTGCTAGTGAGGCCTGCCGTGGCCAGGTGCCTGCTGAGAAGGGTCAGTCTCATGATTTTGTGCTGCACCAGGGAAGAGCGGAACTCTGGAGGGTGCCTGGGCCCTTTACGGGCACTGCCTTTTATAAATCTTGCAGCAACTCATATAAAGCTCTGTCATTATTTCCTCTGCTTAGTAGATGGGGAAGTAGGGGCCTCAGGGGCTCTTGATCTTGGAGGTGGTGTTGAGACTGGGAACTTAGCTACTGATGTCTGTGTGTCTCCTTCCCTGACCTGCGACACTCTCCCTCACGTCAGTATCTCCATGTTTAAGAAACTGCATGAGAGGGCAAGAGCCCAAGGATTATTATTATCTTTTAAAGATTTTATTTATTTATTTGAGAGGTGGGGAGGGGCAGAGGCAGAGGGAGAAGCAGACTCCCCACTGAGGAAGAGCCCGACGCAGGACTCGATCCCAGGACCCTGAGACCACGACCTGAGCTGAAGGCAGACGCTTAACCAACTGAGCCACCCAGGCCCCCCAAAAGCCCAAGGATTATTTAAGATACACCTGTCATGTGTTGGGTGAAGCTAGGCAGGCAGCAGCTGGAAGGCAAAGACTAGTTGCCTGGAAGGGTTAACACATACCTACCCATCATCAGCAAGGTGGGAGGGGTGACCCTGTGACTTGGGCCCCTAAGTGAGCTGACAGAGATTTCCATATATGAGTGTCAGACCCATGAATGACAACTTCTTGTCATGATCCCCCACAACTGCCACCTCCAGCCAAGGCCCTGGAGGTGGAAAGCAGGCTGTGTGGGGCTCTGTCTACTTACACTCTGTCGCTCATTCACTGTGCACATGTGACAATTACTCCACCAGGGACAGTCCATCCTCAGTATCATGGTAGTTGTGATCTGCAGCGTTGCTGCCAGCACCGAATTAGCAAATACTGAACTATTGTTTCTGTGGGAAGTACAGGGTTAGGCTCCCAGGAGCCTCTGGTCACTCTTTGTCAACCAGTCAGTGCACGGCCTTGTTTTATGTGTGTTTCTGTTTAAAGGCACCATGTATAACATCCTCTATTGATTCATGTTGAACTCACGGCCAACGGCACTATAACCCATGCCCGGACCACACTCATCGAACACACCCATCCTCCACGAGGCACATCACAGGCTTCTTGTGCTTAGCACCACGAGACAACACTTCAGCACTCCGGGCCATTATAAACAGCAAAATCACCAACAAAAAAGCACAGAAATGCCCAAACATCAGCCTTAAATGGTCTTCAAGAAGGACGCTTGTTTACGACAGGAGCTGAAATAAGGAGGCAGAGAGTCACCTTGTTTGGCCTTGACTGGCACCAGGCACGTTGGGGGACTAGCTTTCTGCCACCCAGAGCATGTCTGAGAATGGATGCAAAACCAGCAGGAGCATTGGTTTGCGGGTGACCAAGGGATGTTAGCCAGTTGACAGATTTCTGCAAGTACTGAGGGTCAACTGAGCAACGGTCCCCACTCCTCCTTCATCCTCACCTCGTCTTGACTGTCGTGTTCCCTTTCCACCTGGCTTGAAAGAAGCGGTGTCTGCACTGCTGCATCCAAGGACCTCTTTCCACTGGCTCTGGCCTGCTCTCTATCTGCCTCCTGGCACCCCCAGCCTTTGCCCTGGTACCTCCTGGTGCCTTCCCTTTGCCCACCGAACTTGGTGGCTGCATTTGGTGCTCCTCTCCTGGCTCTCCTCTCAGCCAACCCTTCTCTCTGTTCTGCATGGATCTCTCTTCTCCCTCCTGCTCCCCAGATGGTTGTGGTCCCTGGGACTCCAACCTCGGCTCTGCCTCTGCATCTCCTCTTTCCCAGGTGAGCCCAGGCACTCCCCTGCTGTGCCGTAGCCCCATAACCAACAGCACAGCAGATGCCTCCATCTGGGTTTGCTGCCAAATGCTCAATCCAGAATTCTCTTCAGGACTAGTCTTCCTCCTGTAACCAACTCATCCACCTGGTTGCCCAGATCTTACCAGAGTCCTCTCAGGTCTCCTCCCTGCCTTCACCTGCCCAGTCACTGCATTCTGTTGTCTTCCTCTGAAGAGTGTCCCAGCTCTGTCCCTTTGCTAGCCTGGCGTGGTCACCATCTTCCCGATGGTCTCACCTTGTTCCCCTCAACATCACCTCCACCTGTCCCCATAGTTATGCTAACACGGGTGGGGGTGGGGTGGAGTCTCAGCTCCCTGATGGTGAAGGACTTGAGGAATCGGGCCCTTGGTACAGTGGTGTGGTCTGGGTCTGCACTCCCTACTTCTCTCTGCCTCCACATCAAGTGGAAGAGTCGCAGGGCAGGTTATTCCCACAGGCCCCAGTCTGGCTCTGCCCTCCATCCCCAGCCCCTGCTGCTGCGCTCCAGCACTCTGCCCCCAGCTTGTCTCCGGGGTCTAGCTCATGAGTCTCCTCCAGGAACCCCTGCACTCAAGTATCCCTGGAATTATACTTACTGTACCCTAGTCCCTTCTGGATTCTCTATGGTTGGTGATTTCTTCCCTTCCTTCCTTCTTTAGATTGAGGCTACACCTTATTTATCTTTGTACCCCCCAATATTTAACGCATACCTGTTTATTGGACAGATGAATGGATGAATGACTGAATTAGTGAATGCTCCCCCTTCAGCCCCATGCCCTCAGATGTCTGTATCTGAGGCCTGTCTCCCCCTTTTCTGGCTTGGGTGGCCCCCTCCCTCCTGGCTGCAGCTTTACCTCAGGAGCCCTCTGGCTCTTCCTTTTTTGAAACTTGAGTTTCCTTTCTGGGGCGACCTCCCCTTCCCCCTGCAGGTATCCTTCACCTCTTTTCTTTGCCCAAGGAGCTGGCTGCTTTGCAGAGTTGCTCCAGTCTTTAGCACCATCTTGGATTCCCTTTGAATACACCCAGGAGTGCTGGGTCTTGTGTCTCCATAGCAAGAATGTGGAATGCGTGCCACAGAGTCTAATCCCTCTGCTTCTCTCTTTTAACAGCAGAATGCTTCGGAAAGAATAGAAGTTCCAGTGAAGAAAGATACTCTCTGAATTACGTGATTTTTCTTGTGATTGGCTCCAGTCTTTAATAAATACTTTACTCTTCCTCTTTCTCCATTGCCTGATTTTTAACAAAATAGGCGTAACTATTAAATTTTTAGATAAGAAGCAATGACATGAAAAAAAAAAAGAAGCAATGACATGAAGAGATTATTACTACCTAAGGATTTTAGGAGCTAAGGACTCACAAAGTGGCCATTCTTAGCATAATTATGTCACATGCCTGTTTTAGATCAAAACGCAATGGTTGTAGTTCCTTATTCTTAAAAATACCATCAGTCCACGCAGCTTGGTGTCAAGAGTGTCTTTCTTTTTGTGACTTCTTTTAATCAAAAAAAAAAAAAAAAAGCACCTGGTGATTTAGGGATGAAAGGCAGTCCCCTCCCCACCACCAAAATGCCTCTGTGGATTCTTTTTCTCTAGACTTCTCAGTCCAGGGCATCACTATAGCAAAGCCAGCTTTCTGTCCAAGCAGATATGCTAGGAAAGTACCCAAGGACAGAGGTCTGTGTTCCCAGGCCACTTGGCAATTGCTGCAGTTAGAGGCCCTGCTGGAGCCTGGCCTGGGAGGATTACAGGACGTGAGCATCCCCAAACCCAAACGCAGTCCCTTTCCAGCAAGACTGACTGTCAGTTCCACTGGCCTTCTGTGAAGATGTCACAGCTCCTGAGAACTACTTCCCGGAGGGATGATACACGAAGTCATTATCGGTCATTTGCACCTTCATTTAGAAGCGACTGCTTACTCCTGCTCCTGGCAAACTGCTCTGTTTCCTACAGCTTCTCAATGTCTTCAGAGGCTAAAAACTGCCTT